ATAAAAATATCTGCTGTTTCTTAAATCTTCTTATATATATATAGTGTGGACATAAGAATCAACATTGTATGGTAACTGTCATTTTAAGGTTTTACCAACACCTGAAGATTGCATTGAAGCATAGAATAGACATTTTCTGATGTTTGTCACAAAGCAAATGCTTTGTAAATTCCTATGTCCCCACTCTCTATATCTATAATTGTTCTATCTCCAATATTGATTATAGTTCTATAAATATAGCAAATTTTCATTGATTGATACATTATTAACCCTTTGCAGGTTATTTAAAGCCCCAAAATATTCTTAGATTTTATTTTATTTTTATTTTGAAATAATAATGGTTTAGTGATACAAGTTTTAGTACTTAACCCATAGCTGTAGGCGTTGGGTGAAGAGCTGGATTCAAGCCTTTCCCTCTTACACATCGAATCTTAGCGAATTTTAAATATGTATGTGTGTATGCATATATATAATATATGTATAATGTATGCATGCATTATCATTCTATACTATATGTGTGTGTGTGCGTATATATATATATATATATATATATATATATAAATAAATATAAAAATATGACAAACTGGAAAGGTTTTTTGTGATGCGGTTCATCCGTTAGGGTTACATCAAACTGGGCTTTGATGATGTTGCTACGTCCACACATCCGCACAAAATGAGAAATGCAGGTAGTTTCAAAATTCTTTGAGAGAATATTTCTTGAAAGAATTTTTTTTTTTTTTTCAATTTAACCGAAATCATCTGCATTCTTTTTCTTTATCTCTCCACCACCTTTGTTCCTGATTATCCCACACATTTTTGTATTATTTTGTATAAAATTATACAAAATTATATATCGTTATATCATATATATATATATATATATATATATATATATATATGTGTGTGTGTGTAATTAGTCATTATTAATTTTTCACTAATGTCTTTTTCAATTTAGTTTCAGTTGTACAACTATCATTTTCAAGACTCTTAGTGAGCAGTTGAGGCTGGAAATAATATTATTAATGCCTTTAGATGATTGTTTGAATAAATGTGAGGAAAAACAATTGAGGATTAAAATGAAAGAAATCTGAGTCAAAAATGAATAAAAGTTAACAATGTCTCATCAAACAATAATTCAAGATAATGTGTGTCATTGTTTGAAATTTTCTGAATCTGTAGTTGAATTTTCATCTGTTTGCTCCTAATGCTCTCTTCATAACTACTTCATCTCTCTCTATCTGGATGCTAAAATCTATTTTTTCCATTGTCTTCACTTCTATCAAGCTATTTTTTATATTCTCTCACTATATATATATATATATATATATATATATATATATATATATATATATATATATATATGTCCAGGAGAGAATAAGAATATAATATAAAAGGCTCAAACACTAATATTTCATGGTTATAATTTATTACATTGGAATCGTAATTATGATCCAATTCATCAGACCTACAAATTTAAAAAGAAATCAGAAAATATAACTCCAGGTATAAAAAAAACAAGCAGTTATATTTTCCAATTTTTTTTTTGAATTTGTAGGTCTGATGAATTGGATCGTGATTATGATTCCAATGTAATAAATTGTAACCATGGAATATTAGTGTTTGAGCCTTTTATATTACATATATGTATATGTGTATGTATGTGTGTGTGTGTGTGTGTATATATATATATATATGTATGTATGTGTGTATGTATATGTATGTGTGTGTATATATACATGTATGTATATGTGTGTATATATATATATATGTGTGTGTGTGTGTGTTTTATATATATATATATATATATGTGTGTGTTTTTATATATATATATATATATGTGTGTGTGTGTTTTATATATATATATATGTGTGTGTGTTTTATATATATATATATATATATATATATGTGTGTGTTTTTATATATATATATATATATGTGTGTGTGTGTTTTTTATATATATATATATATATATATGTGTGTGTGTGTTTTTATATATATATATATGTGTGTGTGTGTTTTTTATATATATATATGTGTGTGTGTTTTTTTATATATATATATATGTGTGTGTGTTTTTTTATATATATATATATATATATGTGTGTGTGTGTTTTTATATATATATATATATATATATGTGTGTGTGTTTTTTTTATATATATATATATATATATATATGTGTGTGTGTTTTTATATATATATGTGTGTGTGTGTTTTTATATATATATATATATATGTGTGTGTGTGTGTGTGTTTTTATATATATATATATATATATATATATATATATGGTCAGCTCAAGGTACTGGCAACTCAGTCCTGCGTATGACGATAAACTACATCTGGCAGCAAGGCCCCTGATTAGGAGATTGGAGGTTTTGAGGAGCATCCAATTTAACTGTTCTTCTTTCAAGGTCCACCCTCACCCACAGGGGTAGCACCTGTTAAGGTCCAGCCATAGGTAAATAGTGAACCCCCAAGCAAAAACAAAATGCTATGAAATAATGCACATACCTTAAATACCTTTTATAACAAAATGACCAACAGTACATTTTATCTCTAGTTGAAAGCATACAACTGCATTCAAAACACTTAGATTTTGGAATTAAATAACCCATGGAGGTATTGATATGCAGCTAAGCAAAACCAAACAACCAACATGAAATAACTCTTTCAGGACATTAATCCATATAATATCCTAGAATGTTTTAAATCAAACTGTATTCTGAAATATAAATTCAACAAAACTACAACAAGAAACACACATATCACCGCCTCTAGTAATTATGTCCTCACAAACATGTATATGCACTAAAGCCGAGTGTCATCTACCATGTACTCAATTGTGAAATACAGATATCATATTTTTGTTACTTCAATAAAAATTAAATTTTAGCATTAAATGACCCATAAAGAGTTGATATGCTGTTAAACAAACAAAACAAAACTGGCAACTCAGTCACCTGGGGTGCCATCAAGACCAAGGGTACCACAATTCTGCCATATCATGTTTGGGAACTTCCAAAACTAAAGCTTATAAAAACATAATTGCTGTGGTCCCTGACTTAAGAGAGATTAAATTCTTTGGCTATTTTGTCAATAGAAAATAATCTTGTAAAGAAGATAGGTGTAGAAAGGGACATGAAAAAACTTTCAGATCTAAAGGCTAGAAAAGAAATGTTTTCAGTAGGATAAGGAATGTTTTCTGTAGCTTATATTAAGTTGTATATTATAATAAACTCGTTATTCTACATTTTCAGTTTTTCTCCTTGTGGAAATTAAAAAAAAAAATTGTACTTGTAAGGGTGCCACTATTCAGCTTTCTCACATCCCTAAGGCTGCCTATATATATATATATATATATATATATATATATATATATATATATAGTACAGGTAATAAATCTGTTGGCATATAATCCAAGTGAATCCTAATAATATAAAATATTAAAACTGGTCCACAAAGAGAGCTCAATGTATTAATTATAACAGAGCATATAAATTACATAGAATAAAAATCCAAAGTTACCTCCTCCAAATAGCTATTTCAACCCACAATACTTTCTTGTAGGCCTCATTAACTCCAAGATATCAAAAAATAAGAGCTTATGTTTAAATTTTTAAGCTCTTATTTCTTCATATCTGAGTTGACAAGGCCTACAAGGAAGTTTTGTAGTTGTTGGTTGTTTTGTTTTATGGCATATCAACCTCAGTGGGTCATTTAATGCCAACAAAATTTTGAAATAGATTCATAGTGATAGGTTGGTTAAAAAAAGGTGTGTATGTATACATATATATTTGAACTTTTTTTTTTTTATTACAAAGTATTTCTGGTATTAAAACCTATTTTTACACAAGTATGAGTGTTAACTATTTGCCCATAGCTGGGACCCTAACAGGTGCTACCACACTGGGTCAGGGTGGACCTGGGAACACCAGCAATTAAGAGGTGGTTCCATGCTCCTCAAAACCTTCTGATCAGATGCCTTGCTGTTGGACAGAGTTTATCGTCTTACCCTGGACTCAGATGTAGTTTATCGTCATAACAAGGATGGGGGATGTCTTGTGGGTTGAAATAGTTATTTGAATGAGGTAACTTTGGATTTTTATTCTATGTAATATATATATATCTATGAGTGCTGGATTTGCATATAGGCTAGAATAAGCTGCAGCCCCCAAACTAGAGGACCCCTAATTGGGCCCCTGATAAAACTAAAATATAAAGATATAGGAACAGAGGAGATTTGTTTATTTTCAGCTTTAATTGAGATTCTTTGAACTAATTTGAAACAATTTAAATTATTTTGGCCCCACTAGCTAGAGTGGGTCTTTTAAATGTGATCTTTGAGTTCATTGTCTTTCATTACAATGTGTTACAATCCAAGAATCTATTATTTTCTGTCAAATCTCCATGATGTAGAATTACTAACCTAGCTATTTGAAGATGACATTTTTAACAATAAATATAATGAATATTTTTTTTTCAGCTGTGGTGATCTAGGATTGAAACGTTGTAGCAAGTCCAAATTTTCCTTCTCCATCATTATTTTTAAGGATGCTTTGCTAGTGAATTTGAAATTTGGATTTTAGCATAATGCAGATTCTTCATTCTAGATACTTTTCTGTAGGATGTAAAATTCAAATAAAAAATATCATGAAATTGCTGATGAAATAAATTGGATGAGTTCCAAAATCATTCAAAATTTTCATTCATTGCTTTTGTTTAGCAGCATGTCAACAACTTTATGGGTTATTTAATGTTGAAATCTAAATATTTTGTACACAATTATTTCATTTTATTTTATTTTTTGGAAGATAATAATGTTTTAGTGATCTAAGTTTTACGAATTAACCCATAGCTGGGGGAGAAGTGGTAGATTCATACCTTTTCCCAACGGTATTTGAGTATAAGTGAATATAATGAACCCAATGGGAATTGGAACTTTGCTTTCTGATTAACAATACCAAGCCACTATCTATTACACTACTTGCAAATCCAAGCTTACAGGACCTGGCATTTCCAAACAGTCACCCATCTAGGTACTGAACAGGCTCAGTGTTGCTTAACTTCTATGATTGTATGGAAACTGATGTTTCAATGTGATGTGGCTGTAAGCCTTAAAAATTTTAGTTGAAGTGTTTCATGTTATATACCAATAGTGATGTTTATGTTGATGTGATTACACATACTCATGAAGGAGAGGGGACACTGACATTTTAAATTTAAATAAAAAAAATTTTTTTTTTAATTATGTGTTTGTGTCATTTAGTTTGTTTTTATCACTTTTGCACATTATGACAATAGAAGATCTGCCAAGAAAGGTGAAATGCTGTAAGAACCAAATATTTACTGTGGATGATCTAGCGATTAAAGCACTTTCTATACATTTTTGTTTTAGTAAATTGCTTTCCCTTTTAATTAGAGTAGCACTTTTTAAATCAAAATTATGACCAGACTCATTACAGTGAGCAACTAATGCATTGATTGTATTGCTTTGTAAAAGTTCATATAGTCTTTTATTTAAATTCCTTGAGGTTTCTCTGATGTATTCCTTCTGGCAATTATTACAGTTTCAAGTTTTAGCTTATTATTTATTTTATTTTTTTTGTATTAAGTCCTTTATTATTGTTGAAGTAGTTGTAACAAATTGTATGTTAAGCTTAGATAAATTCTTTTCCATTGTAGTTGTGATAGAATTGATAGATAGAATAATATATCTTGATTCATTGGTTTTGTTAGGAAGGTTCATTATTTACATTGTTTGGACTGTTATCCTCATCTTTATTGCTATAGTCACGATGTTTCGGTTGTTGTATTCTCCAGAATTGGAATTTCAAACTGAACCCTTTATTTTGCCCACTGGGGTAGATAGTTCTTGTTCTACATGCCATGCCTCTTCCAGATGTCTCAGTTATCTCCCTTTAACTCAACTCTCCAAGTTTTTGTTCACCAGACTCAGTTGAATTCACAACTCTTTGGATCAAAGCACTGGATCCAACTAACACATTTATCTGCTGTGCATTGTGTCCTTGGGACTTATAAACTTAATGTTTCAGTATACATTTTCATACCAGAGCTCATATTGCAATTTTTGTTATTATTGCTTTTTTCTAGCACTCTGTACTACAGGTTCCCATATTGTATTCATTTCTATGCTTGGACAGCTTAGGAGATTTTTGTGGCCTTGCATATCTTCTGGTTCCTTAAGTTTTCGTATTTTCCAGTAATGTCCTCTGTCTATTATTTCAACCTCATCACACAGAGGGTCATGATCTCCCTTTACCCTCTATATGTGGTCAGTTACACCTGATTTTTCTATTTCCCTTTGCGTTACAGCTTTATGTTGTTCTTACAGTCTTACCTTAAGTGGATAGCCTGTTTCTCTTTTATATTTCTTATCACAGCTGCATGGGATGGTGTACACACAGTCTTTAGTATATGGACCACAGATCTTTTGTATTTTCTCAGATAATCCCTTTACATAGAGTAGGCAGACCAAAGCTGTTTTCTGAGTGTTGTTATCCTCTTGTACCCTTCTACCCCATTATTGTATTCATCTTTGTTGCCATATTTATTAGAACATTTTGGCCATTGTACGCTCCGGCCTTCTTCAGGTGGTTGGAATGTTGAACTTAACCTTTTATTATATATTTTTTATTATATGTATCATGTTTAATGGATGTCAATTATCAGTTATCTCTTGTTAATTTCCCCCTGAAAGTTCTCCACTGCCTTAACTGGGTATTGAACTCACACTCTTTGGGTCCTATCACTGGATCTAACCAACGCCTTTATCCACTGTGCCATGTGAGGACATCTGTGTATGAATTTTTGAGTATTATAATTAGGTATTATAAACCTAATGTCTTCAGCAACCATTTTTACCAGTGCTCATATTACAATTTTTGGCTGTTAACTAACATCCATTAAACATGGCACATGGAACTAGAACAGTCTACCCCAGTGAGCGAAATAAAGGGTTAAGTTCGACATTCCAACAACCTGAAGAAGGCCAGAGCATACAACGGCTGAAACTTTGTAATAAATATGGTGACAAAGATGAGGACAATAGTCTGAATAATGTAAATGATGTACATAATACCTCATCTCAGAAATATAGACAGATACCTTCTACCTCAGTTTGTCGGAACTGCTGCAATGTACTCAGGATAGTTGTTATGTTGTAGGGTACTGCTTATACTGACCATTTCTTGATCATATCTCTGGGTCGCCACTTAGGAATTTTGCTTGATGTTGTAAGCTGTGTATGATCCCTTTCTTTATACTGTATGACTGGTGGGAATTGAAGTTTAGGTATTGTCCAGTGAATGTTGGCTTGTGGTATATGGATATCCTGAACCCATGTTCTATTTGAGATATTAGTACATTTAGTAAGGCAAGTTTTTTGTCTTTTTCTCTCTTCATTGTGAACTGTATTGATAATCTTATTGAGTTCACATGGACTTTGTGCATCACTTTCTGATCTTTCAATCTGTTTAATCACCTCCCACCCAGTGAAGGCAGTAATCAACATCAGTCAACACTAGCTGAGTGCATCTGAGGAGTCAGTACTAAACAAGGGTTTCAACTTTGCTACAACTATCAGGCTGATACCATACTTGAACATCATTGCCAGAATTCGAAAGATGGAAAGTGAGACAGATAATGGAGAAAGCCAAGCTGCCCAAATCAAACATCATGAAACCAGAGAAGCTAGCAATCAAAACCCAACGGAGGAATGAAAACATCATCATACTACCAGCTGACAAAGGCAATGCAACTCTAGTGATGGACAAATCAGAATATACAGGCAAACCTCATTAGAAATAGTAGCTACAGTAAAGATCCAACAATGAAAATGGAACAAAAACTGTCCTAATTAAGAACAAGGAACACTTTGCATCTAAAAGATACAGGCAGCATTACACCAAGCTACCTCACATATACTGTCTGCCCAAAATTCACAAAGACAATATTCCACTCGGGCCAATTGTTAGCTGCCAAGGCTCTGTATGCCACCCTCTGAGTCACTTCCTTGTAGATATAATTGACCCATTAATAGGAAAGTCACCTTCATATGTCCGAAACTCTGCCTACTTCATGGAAATAATCAAAGATTCTCCCATCCAATTCAACCAGATGGTGAGTTTGTTCACCAAGGTGCAGGAGGCACTATTGGTAGTCAGAGATGGACTGGCCTTGAACTCATCCCTAGGAGAATGAACTAGTATACTAATAGAGAACCTGATGGAGATGCTGACTTTCTGTATGCCGACAACACATTTTGGATAGCGATCAGACATATATATCGACAGGATAAAGGCTTTGCAATGGGCTCACCATTATCACCAGCAATGGCAAACATATACATAGAATACTTTGAAGAAATTAAATTAGAATCTACATCACTAAAGCCAACCCTATGGATGAGATATGTAGATGACACCTTCATACTCTGGCCACACCAGGAAGAGGTTCAGCTACCACTGGACTATGTGAACTCAATAAGATCATCAATACAGTTCACAGTGGCGAGAGAAAACAACAAACTCACATTCCTGGATGTACTAATATCTCAAATAGAGCATGAGTTCAAGACAACCATATACCACAAGCCAACATTCACCAGAGTACATTACAGCAGCACTGACTGGGGTAGAAGGATACAAGAGGATAACAACACTTACAAAACAGCTTTGATCTGCCTACCCTATGTGAAGGGTATATCCGAGAAAATACAAAAGATCTGTGATCCATATAACATTAGGACAACCTTTAAAAGTGGTATGACATTTTATAAACACCTCTTCCAAATAATATACAGGGGAACATGACTAAAGACCATGTGTACACCATCGTGTGCAGCTGTGGTAAGAAATATAGAGAATAAACAGACTGCAAGAACATCGTAAAGCTGTAACACGAGGGGAAATAGAAAAATCAGTTGTAACTGACCACATATGAAGGGAAAAGGGAGATCACCGCCCCCTGTGGAATGAGGTTGAAATAATACAGAGAACATCACTGGAAAATATGAAAACTCAAGGAATCAGCACATATGCTTAACCACAAAAATCTTCTAAGCCAGCCAAGCATAGAAATTAATACAATATCAGAACCAGTAACACAGAATGCTAGAGAAAAGCAGTAAAATCAACAAAAATTGCAATATGATCTCTTAAAAAAAGGTTACAAAGACTTTAAGTTTATAAGTCTCAAAAATACATACACTGATGTCCTCAGGAACACATGGTCCAGTGCATAAAAATGTTGGTTCGATTCTGTGAGTTAACCCAAAGAGTTGTGAGTTTTTAATAACTGACTGAGATATGGAGATGACATCTTCATAGTGAAAAAAAAAACTTGGAGAGTTGAGTTAAAGGGAGATAACTGAGACATCTGGAAGAGGCGTGGCACATAGAACTAGAACAATTTAACTTGGTAGATGAAATTCTAATCACCTGAAAAAGGCCAGGGTGTACAACAGTCAAAATGTCATGAATATGGCAATAAAGATGAAGACAAAGATCTGAACAATGTAAATAATGACAATACCTCATCTCAAAAATATAGACAAATAGGAAAGTTCATTCTTCTGTTTAGGAGTATTTTATGAGCCTTTTGTTTCACATTGAATATGAAATAATTGGAGTACTGTATTTTCCTCTGCATGTAAATATTAAGGGCTAAAAATTCCAAATTCTCTTTAATAGAATCCAATGATTATTCTAGATTTTATTTTGTTGTTATGATGAGAATAGAAATTTATGAAATCATTTTTATTAGATGATTTGCAATAGATACTTAATTTTAGGACATTGTCATTACAGTGTAACATGATATCTAAGAATGGTAAAGTATTGTTTGTTTCTGTTTTGTAACTGAATTCTATCATTTGTTCAACTTTCTTTAGTTTATCTACAAGATCATGTAAAGAATTTTGTGGGGATCATGTTTATTTTATATTTTAAGCTTTTAGCTTATATTCTTACTATTTATGTGTGTGTATAATATATATATATAAAGTGGACTCTGAAGTCAACACTAAGTGACAACAGTGTGCTTCATGCATCAATTCAATCTTCAGGCCATGAAGATTGTGTTCAAGCAT